TGTCACATAAGACACGTTGACGATGAAGGGAAATATAAATGTATATTTGGACATATCATGAAACATTGAAGATATTGACTATTGAATATACACATTGTACTGGATTTATATTTACAGGATATTATTGCTGTATGTGTAAACATGGATTTGCCAAGTAAATGCAAATGCTATAGATGTTTTTCTTGTCAAATCTCTTTTCAAAACCATTGCTGTTCTCTTGTACACCAGCAGTGCAGTTACACAAACACCTCACGATAAGAAAGAAAATGAAATGTAAGTGCTGTGCTGTGCTGTAAGTCTCTGGGATCTGCATGTGCCTGTCACAGACTGTTACACAGTCCTCGATGCTTGAATGAGAATGTTTTCATTGTGTTATCAAAGAGCGAGAGAGCATTTGTGTAAGTCCCTCTGTACTAAGAGTAGAACAGCACACACCGCAGCGTTGTGTGAATGTGTAATCTAGCTCTGAATAAATCCATGAAAAAGAAACAAGCGTGATATCTGGGCATCTGCACTCTTGCCTCATTTACCATTGTATCTGGTGATTCAGACTTACCTACCATTTACTCATTCTTTGTTTAAAGTTAAGCCTGTGTGAAAAGATACAGAACATCTTCCCAGGGGAACATTTAATTGCTCAGAAGTCTTTCAGAGCACAGGGAACTTGGATGGATTGTTGAATTATGCTGAATTTCTAAATCATCTTTGCCAGATGTGTTTTTCCTAAAATTAAATAGGAGAAATAATAATCTATCAACTGCTTATGTACAAAAAGTGTATAGAATACTACATTGAAGTATCTACATTTGCTGTCTATTTTTTCGGAAATCAATCTCTTAAGAGTCTCAGTACAAACACATGGAAGAATTTAGAAAATACAAACAGACACAAAATGGCCATAGGCCTTGCACATCTCCAAGCAACACATGACAAATTATGTTTCAGGTTCCCAAATGAATCTGGGTATTTGACCGAATCGTTTAACTGAATGACTCACACATAAAGACAGTCACTTATTTTGTTCGTGAATGAAGTAGCTATTTTAAACGAACAGATTCAATGAATGATTTTAAGAACCACTCATAAAGACAGTGGCTGCCAAAACAGCACAACAGTATGTAAAAAAATAAATATGTCCGAATTCACAGTACTCATAAAAGAGTAGGCAAAACTTTACTATACCATGAGGTCATGGGAGAGGATTTATGAATGGCAGTAACATGATGCAACTGACGGTGGGAGGTCAAGTGACAATGACAACATGGTGAATGCAGTACGTCCTGATTACATTTACCATGTTACCATTGCCTCTTATCCGGCAATGACTTTGCAGACAACATTTGCACACAAAGGCACCTCACGAAACTGAATTCGGACATGCTTCTGAAGCAGCGTAACAGTTTAATGATTTACAACAAAATAGAATGAGCTTTGGTGATAACGAAGCGAACATTTAATTACTATAATACTGATGTATCGCTAGAAATAACATCAAAAGTGCAAAAAGTTGGTCAAAAACAAACATTTACACACAAGCACAACACTCAGATGCCATCTTTATTTTTTGCACAACCATCACGGAATGGGACACATAGGAGGAATGTGGGATATCAAAGGCAGTGTAGGATACATCTATGCTGCCTTCAAAAATCAACCAGATGAAGGCCTCTCAAGAGACAGGAAGTGAAGCTAACACTGGATTCAGACATGCCTTGGTGCCTTCCTACCTTGAAATGTGTCCTCCGAAGGCAGCATTTTCCAATTTTCGGATGCAGCCACTATATAGAACATACTCTATACTCTATAACTTTGAAAGTTCCTATTCAAAAGAGTATGCGATTTCGAACGCAGCCGGTCACTTTTTCGTTTGTGAATAAATTAGGTATTTTGAACAAATCACTTCAATGAATGATTCAATGACTCACTTAAAATGTCACTTGGCACCACCTACTGAGAGTCACTGAAATAAAAACATCTAGAGCAGGTGTTCTTAAACTTTTAACCAATGAATTTTACAATCTTTCATTATTTATAAAGATTAGGAATTTTTGAAAGTATATTTTACTTTTGTACCCACTAAAATATTTTATAGCCCAACCTTTTGAATGGTATATATAAAAGTGTATAATTGCCTTAATTTGCTCAACATAAGTTTGACAAAAATGGCTTGTTTTTTCTGTTTTTACATGTTTCACATATTATTTTACTTTTTTGTAGTATGTTTGCTCATTATGCATTATGTTGCTTTGCATGAAGGATTTTGGTACTAGTTACTTTAACTTTGTGAGTAAGTATGAGTGAATGTCAAACTTTCAATCAACACAATAACACCCTTCAGTTCGTTCAGGAAATCAGCATCATAAAAACGGTTTCACTTAATATGTGTGAAGTAATACTTGATATGTATCAGTACATAACACTGCTGTTTGGTGCATATATGTCAAACCATTTATATGGTGGACTGAATAGTACAAAATTAATTCTTAAAATCTAACTTCTGTCACATAAGACACGTTGACGATGAAGGGAAATATAAATGTATATTTGGACATATCATGAAACATTGAAGATATTGACTATTGAATATACACATTGTACTGGATTTATATTTACAGGATATTATTGCTGTATGTGTAAACATGGATTTGCCAAGTAAATGCAAATGCTATAGATGTTTTTCTTGTCAAATCTCTTTTCAAAACCATTGCTGTTCTCTTGTACACCAGCAGTGCAGTTACACAAACACCTCACGATAAGAAAGTAAATGAAATGTAAGTGTTGTGCTGTGCTGTAAGTCTCTGGGATCTGCATGTGCCTGTCACAGACTGTTACACAGTCCTCGATGCTTGAATGAGAATGTTTTCATTGTGTTATCAAAGAGCGAGAGAGCATTTGTGTAAGTCCCTCTGTACTAAGAGTAGAACAGCACACACCGCAGCGTTGTGTGAATGTGTAATCTAGCTCTGAATAAATCCATGAAAAAGAAACAAGCGTGATATCTGGGCATCTGCACTCTTGCCTCATTTACCATTGTATCTGATGATTCAGACTTACCTACCATTTACTCATTCTTTGTTTAAAGTTAAGCCTGTGTGAAAAGATACAGAACATCTTCCCAGGGGAACATTTAATTGCTCAGAAGTCTTTCAGAGCACAGGGAACTTGGATGGATTGTTGAATTATGCTGAATTTCTAAATCATCTTTGCCAGATGTGTTTTTCCTAAAATTAAATAGGAGAAATAATAATCTATCAACTGCTTATGTACAAAAAGTGTATAGAATACTACATTGAAGTATCTACATTTGCTGTCTATTTTTTCGGAAATCAATCTCTTAAGAGTCTCAGTACAAACACATGGAAGAATTTAGAAAATACAAACAGACACAAAATGGCCACAGGCCTTGCACATCTCCAAGCAACACATGACAAATTATGTTTCAGGTTCCCAAATGAATCTGGGTATTTGTCCGAATCATTTAACTGAATGACTCACACATAAAGACAGTCACTTATTTTGTTCGTGAATGAAGTAGCTATTTTAAACGAACAGATTCAATGAATGATTTTAAGAACCACTCATAAAGACAGTGGCTGCCAAAACAGCACAACAGTATGTAAAAAAATAAATATGTCCGAATTCACAGTACTCATAAAAGAGTAGGCAAAACTTTACTATACCATGAGGTCATGGGAGAGGATTTATGAATGGCAGTAACATGATGCAACTGACGGTGGGAGGTCAAGTGACAATGACAACATGGTGAATGCAGTACGTCCTGATTACATTTACCATGTTACCATTGCCTCTTATCCGGCAATGACTTTGCAGACAACATTTGCACACAAAGGCACCTCACGAAACTGAATTCGGACATGCTTCTGAAGCAGCGTAACAGTTTAATGATTTACAACAAAATAGAATGAGCTTTGGTGATAACGAAGCGAACATTTAATTACTATAATACTGATGTATCGCTAGAAATAACATCAAAAGTGCAAAAAGTTGGTCAAAAACAAACATTTACACACAAGCACAACACTCAGATGCCATCTTTATTTTTTGCACAACCATCACGGAATGGGACACATAGGAGGAATGTGGGATATCAAAGGCAGTGTAGGATACATCTATGCTGCCTTCAAAAATCAACCAGATGAAGGCCTCTCAAGAGACAGGAAGTGAAGCTAACACTGGATTCAGACATGCCTTGGTGCCTTCCTACCTTGAAATGTGTCCTCCGAAGGCAGCATTTTCCAATTTTCGGATGCAGCCACTATATAGAACATACTCTATACTCTATAACTTTGAAAGTTCCTATTCAAAAGAGTATGCGATTTCGAACGCAGCCGGTCACTTTTTCGTTTGTGAATAAATTAGGTATTTTGAACAAATCACTTCAATGAATGATTCAATGACTCACTTAAAATGTCACTTGGCACCACCTACTGAGAGTCACTGAAATAAAAACATCTAGAGCAGGTGTTCTTAAACTTTTAACCAATGAATTTTACAATCTTTCATTATTTATAAAGATTAGGAATTTTTGAAAGTATATTTTACTTTTGTACCCACTAAAATATTTTATAGCTTTAAATATCTAGAAAAAAATGTGAGTTATTTATTTAAAAAATGCCCATAGCATTTTAAGATTTTATTCTTTTACATGACTTTTCCAGGTCTAGACATCGCGGTTTTCCAAGACCATAAGAATCTTGGCTCTACAAAGAAAAAACATTCCTCTTGAGGTGTTCATCCAGTATGGCAATTTGAGGAACCCTAAATGGTGTTTCAATTACCTTCAGTTTATATAGATATTGTTTAGCTTACAGTGCAGCATTTTTATTCAGTGCAACAGACAGGCACATTTACCTATCTGTCATCTAAATAGGAAGAACTGAAGGGTGTGGCCCAGAGACATCCGTGCAAAACTGGGAACTGCTTCTCAGTGACAGAACCATTATCATTTCACACATTTTCCTACAACAGAATACAACTAAATGGAAGGGCTCCTGAATTCAGAAGAGTTTTGCTGTTCTATTTGCCTGGATTTGCTGAAAGATCCTGTGGCGATTCCATGTGGGCACAGCTACTGCATGGAATGCATTAATGATTATTGGAAGAAAAATGATCATTTGGGGGTCTTCAGCTGTCCTCAGTGCGGACAGACGTTTAGCCCTAGGCCTGTTTTGAACAGAAATACCATACTGGCAGATATGGTGGACAAGCTGAAGAAACTGGAACTTCTGGGCAACTCTCACATTTACGACAACTGCATGCCAGGTGATATGACCTGTGATTTCTGTACAAGTATCAAGCAAAAAGCTGTGAAGAGTTGTTTGGTTTGCTTGGCATCTTACTGTCAAAACCACCTTCAAGCACACTACAAGTCTCCTGCCTTGAAGAAACACAAGCTGATCGAAGCCTCCGTGAACCTGCAGGAGAAGATCTGTCCTCATCATGACAAATATTTGGAGATGTATTGTCGAACTGATCAACAATGCATATGTCTTTTGTGTGTGATGGACGACCATAAAGGTCACGATACAGAACCCGCAGCTGTGGAAAGCACAAAGAAACAGGTGAAAAAAAAATGTCCTTGTTTTGCTTTGCATTGTTTAAGTGGTTTTATTCAATAAGAACTTTTCATGGTTCTTAACTTCTATGGAAGATGCAGTAAATTACAGTACTCTCAGAATCCTTCAGTAGCCAAAGCCATTTTCCACTGAGGCAAAACACATTTTCCAAAGTGCACTCCACCTCAATATGAACAGCTTTCATTGTACAGAAAAGTTCATGCAACAGAGTAATTGGGAAAAGAAATGTGAGAGAAAGGAGGCATTGAATTGATGTGATGAGGAATACACTTGTGTTTCCAACCAAAAACGATAAAGTACCCGTAAATAAGTGTAACATTATAACATTAGAATAATATTACAAAAACAGTTTCCTGCTTCACATACAAATTTCAACCTGCGTACACAAAAGGATGTTCAGGAGAACTTCCTTTAAGAGATAATAATCTTTCCCCATCAACCAATCAGAGAGAGGCTTTGTCTGTTCGCTTTGACTGTGTGGTCAGCTACTTTGAATAGTCTGGTAGATATCCTCATATATGAAGTGTATAAACTTTGTTAGAGACAAAGGTTATTCTTATGTAACTCATAAAAATAAACAGTGGAATAGAATATAGGGCTATCCTGAGCAACGTAATGCAGTGTGTCTATTTTGTGACATTAATCACATTATATGAATTCTACACAGAATGATTGTAGTTAAAAAGCATTTCGGTTTTTATTGTGTTTCTTCACAGAAAGAACTAGGCATGACACGCCAGAAATACAAGCTCAAAATCCATGCTAAAGAGAAGGACCTACTGGAGCTTAAACAGGCTGTAGATGCCCTGAAAGTAAGAAATTTCTAGTATGATTTGAACTTAACGAAATTAATGAAACAATAAAAACAACAAAAAACAATTAACCTGAAAATGAAGCATCAATCAATTCTTTATTTTGTATTAAAATATTATTATTATTATTATTAATAATAATTAATAATTAATAATTAATTAAATTATTAATACATGATTAATATTATTATTATGTAATTTTAAAATAATTATTAAATACAATATTTTAAAAAGAAAAATACTGGATTTTTTTTTGCCCTAAAAGAGCTCTGCACAGACTGCTATGGAAAATGGTGAACAGATCTTCACTGAGTTGATGCAGTCTATTGAAAGGAGGAGGTGTAAATTCAGAGATCTGATCAGAGATCAAGAGAGAGCTGCGGAGAGCATGTTGCAGACACTGGAGCAAGAAATCACAGAGCTCAAACAAAGAGATCATGAGCTTGAGATGCTTCTGAAGTCTGAAGATCATGTTCATGTTCTTCAGGTAAGCCTGATCTTAGTGCTGACTGTGAAAAATATAGCCCAAAAAATGCTCAGAATGTGTCATTTGACAAATTGTTGTCTCTCTCTCTTTACAGAACTGTCATTCCTTCTCTTCTGGCCTTCCTGACCCACCCTTCACAATAGCTACACTCTCAGATTTTGGCAAGGTGAACGATGCAGTATCTGCTCTAAAGAAGAGGCTTGAAGATGTCTTTAAAGGGGAATGGCTCAGAATCTATCAAGCAGGTGAGGGGAAACACCCTAAGTTGATTTTTCCACCTTAGCAGTTTCTCTTTAGTGATTTGCAGATTGTTGTGTAATTCTGCCTTTTTGTTAAATAATTTCCTTGTGATGTACACATGCTTTCCATTTTCTCTCCAGCAAGATCAATGAAGATCCTTCATTGCACATTGCCCAAAATTAGATCAGAGTTCCTGCACCGTAAGTCAGTCTACTGCACTAATGCAAAGTGCTATCGATTTCATAATGTTGGATTCTATTTAAACATGGATTTCTTATTAAGCAACACAAACAATTTTTACACCCATGCTGATATTCAGATCAACTTTGCATGAAACATTATGAATGTGATGGCTGTTGTTTTTACTGTTAAACTTTAACAGTTTAGGATATAAGAAGTTAAGAACATTTATTTTAGACCCAGTTACGTCTGTGTTCCAAATGAACCCTTTTTAAATTATTTGGTTGAGTGAATGATTAAATGATTCACTTATAACAACAGTAATGTTTTGTTCCCTGAATGAATCTGTGTTTGAATGAGTCGGTTGAGTGAATGATTAAATGCAGTTGAGGGTTTGGTGCCTTGCTCAAGGGCACCTCAGTCGTGGTATTGAAGGTGGGAGAGAGCACTGTACATTCACTCCCCCCACCTACAATCCCTGCCGGTATCTTTGGGTTATGAGTCCAACTCTCTAACCATTAGGCCACGACTTCCCCCATTATAACAACAGTAATGTTTTGTTCCCTGAATGAATCTGTGTTTGAATGAGTCGGTTGAGTGAATGATTAAATGATTCACTCATGATGACAGTAACTTATTTCATTTCTAAATGAATCTGTGAATGTGAATGTTTTGATCAAATCGATAAAGACGTTCACTTGTCAACACATACTGGTGTAACAATGTAACCTTCAGAAAAGGTCACAAACTAACTGTTATACAATATTACTGTTCAAAAGTTTTTAAAAGGAGTCACTTATGCTCACCATGCAGGGCTGCATTTGTTTGATTAAAAAAAAACAGTAAAACAGAAATATTGTGGAAATATTATTACAATTAAAAGGAACTGTTGTATTTTAATACCTTTTAAAATGTATAGTTTTTTATGACAAAACTAAATTTTCAGCAGCCATTATTTGAGTCTTCAGTGTCACATGATCCTTCAGAAATTATTCTAATATTCTGATTTGATGCTCAATGAACATTTTTTGAATTTTACCAGTGATGAAAACAGTTATGTTGCTTAATTTTTTTATGTAACAATGTAGAGTCGTACAGTCAGTAGACTGTCAATTTTGATCAAAAAGCATCCATCCCTGCTGAATGACAATATTAACTTCTATCCAAAAATAAATCTTACTGACCCCAAAGTTTTGAATGTTAATGTAGATGTTAGTGTTCTTCAAGTTCTCAGCTGATATGTATTTATTTAATCATGGCTCAAGATGAATATGATAAGAATATGCTACACCATGAATAAACATCCTTCCTTCATCTCTTATCCTCTATCCATTACTCAGATTCCTGCCCACTGCAACTAAATCCTTTAACAGCCCACAAGGACCTTAGTTTGTCCAAGGGAAACAGAGAAGTGGCCGTTCGGAGCCGAGTGCAGTCCTGTCCCGACCACCCGGAGCGCTTTGATTACTGGTGCCAGGTGCTGGGCACGGAGGGCCTGACAGGCTGCAGCTACTGGGAGGTGGAATGGAGTGGGATGGGAGTAAACATTGCAGTCGCATACAAAAACATTGCCAGGAAAGGGGAAAGCAGTGAAGCTCACTTCGGTCACAATGACAAATCCTGGAGTTTGTTCTGCTGCAGGAAAGGTTATGCTTTCTGGCACAATGGGATTGTCAGTAAGATCTCAGAGCCTGGCTCATCAAAGATAGGCATTTATCTGGATCATAGGGCTGGGACACTAGCGTTTTACAGCATTGATGACTCAATGACCCTCCTCCACACAGTTCACACCACATTCACACAGCCTCTCTACCCTGGCTTTGAGTTTTCATGCTATGACGCCTCAATCAAGTTGTGTCAAGTGGAGTAAGGGAAAAAGGGTAGGCCCATTTGGCATTGGTAATTAAAGAATGGGAAAAACATTAAAGATATAAGATATAAAATATACAATACATTAGTAAAGAAATAAGAATAAAGAAATACAGTAATATTTGTAAAATTATAGTGGGTTTGCTTCTCCCACTGTTAATCTAGTATCACTGAGATACAAGATTTTGTTAATATTCTGAATTAGATTTTATTTTATATTCTCTGCTTTCATGTTAATTTTAGTTAAAGTTTTAGTAACTTTGTTGTGTGTTTTCGTCATTTTTATTAGTTTTCGTTGTTTTTATGTCTACATAGTTTTTCCGAATTTTTATTTCAGTTTAAGTTTTAGTACATCAAGTTAAAGTAATTGAAAATACGAAAAGTGTCTGTGTGTGTGTATAGCCACAGATAAACTGAAAATCTCTAATAATAAAAATAATAATACAAAAATAAAATCTCTAATAATATATAGTGTTTTTTTCAGTTAGCCAAACAATCCTGACACATTTATATCTTTGATAATCTTCCATTTAAACTACACACACAGTCAATTGCTGTTATTTCTGTCTGTGGAATGTCCCTTGAGGTTAATATTGTGTGAATGCCCTTTACACTTTTTATTCTCTGTCAGCTCTGAAAAAGAAAACCTGTAACAATCACAATAAAATACATTGTTTACCATTATATTTGCCCTTAAGAGACAACCTCATTCTTCACGTCCTAAAAAGTCTTTCCTTTGGTATTTGATGACATCTAGTTTGTAACAGTACAAGTACGCAAATAAATGGTGAAGACAAAATAAAAGAAAGAGTGACCTCTGGTGACTAAAAGTGTTAAAACCAAGCCTTCAGAGGAAAAGCAACAATACAACTATTAAAGTCCCCTGTAGTGAAAATCAAGTTTTTTATGTTGTTTATTTGTCTATGTGGTGTTTTTAATATGCTTTTAGACAAACCATGTGCCAATCTATTAATCAACACCATTGCTGAGTATTTTCTCCTTAAAATTGTAGTTTCCCAAAGGCTGACCCAGAAATGCGGTTTGAAACAGACCTCGGTTTGCTACGTCACAAACCAATAACCAATCACGTCAAGGGATCGATTCCTATCACTAGCATGCAAAATATACCAATTCCAGCACAAAACCAAAAATAAATCAGAGCAAAAAAAACATGCTGCTGTGGTTTAATGTGAATTTAGAACCGCTAACTTGTATTATAACCCGTGGCAACAGTGTAAAAGTAGCCCGGAGTCAGACGCACTTCACACGCGTTGCTCGCGGGCGCAAATTAACAATCACAAACGGCTGCATTTGAGTTTTCAAGGCATTTTAGGACACAACATCGTCAAGTAAGTAACTTTAACGAATGTTACAGTATTCACTGTAGTTGTCCGCTAGTAAAAACATAGTTTTATCAGTCATTATCTGTGTATGCCATTGTTTTGCGGTTACTACAGTTCAGTGGATCAGGAGGCTGGCTGGTGTGACTGAGTGGAGGCGGGACTCATTTACATATTCATAGTTCCGGGTATAGTAAATGAGGCAAGGGTGTGGAGTTACATTCAAGCTTTTTTAAGGCATGATAAAATTATTTTCACAAGAAAAAACATTTAAATATGTCATTTTGATTATCAAAGATAAGTTTTAAGGGATAAAATATTTGACTACAGGGGGACTTTAAATACGTACCGTTCTCTAGTAGTTTAGGTGTTGCTTTTCCTCTGAAGGTGCAGTGGAGTACCAGATGATCAGAAATAAAAACGTGAACTATGAGCTAAACTGTTTAAAAATGACTGTAATACATTAACTAATCATTTAATTAATCATTTTTGCATTGAGTGCCAAAATAAGTGGACTACAAGGAAAGGCACTGTTAAGAGGCAGGATGAAGGACTTTGTGATTGAACAGTTTTTAAAATAAATAATATGAACATGTAAATGTAATGTAGTTTATCTAAGCTCATAAGAGAGTGCACTGATAGACTGAATTAATTACGTCTGGGATAACCATGAGAGACTAACTTTGAGGAACAGATCCGGGTCCATACATAGGTTATAACCTCCCCAATGTGCTTTCAAACCATGTTACACTACCAGCACCAGTTCAGGCTTAAAATATGCTGCTATTTGGCAGTGCACCAAGATGCAGTCCTGCTTATTTTGGAAACAACACAACATTCCCACAAGACATATTTTCACATAGTTACTGAGGTGATTCAGATTAATTATACTGATTTAAAGATGAGATGAAACTATTTGCTTGTCAGCTACAACTTGGGGTTATTAAATCCAGATTTTTTAAAAGGTCAGGTTCCATTGAATGCCGCCTTATATTTTTGCTAAATCTTTTCTTTATCTAAATCAAGCTCATTTTCAGCTCTCATTTGAACGGTCCCATGTCTGAATGCTTTACAACTACTGTAAATGAAATGTTCCTGACTTACCCTCTCACCCATTGCCCTCTCTTACTGAAACATTCAAAGTAAACTTGGGCACTGTTAAGCAACTAAATGGCGTAATAAGTCATGGGACTAAATGTATTTTACAAGACTTTATGAGAAGACTCTCACGTTGTAGACAGTTCTTGTGTCAGAACACACAAAAATGCCATTGTACATGGCAATACAATGTATGTATAGCTTTAAAATGCTTAAACTACCTTTACCTTGTAAATAATGTTTCATGAGTAGGCTAATCGAGTATCTCGTACTTACCTTCATTCAGTCACTGTATCGAGGTGACGTAACCGTAGCCTGCTTTTTTTATGGTTGAAATATAATAAGCAACAAGTATCGTTGTTGGCCTTTTATGTATTAAAAACACGAATGTAATAAAAATGTTAAGTGAAAACACACACTTTCCAGTAGGGTGCAGAGATCCTCATGTCGTCCAAATAAGCAAGTATACCACTTCATTTACACTTGTCAACCAATCACTTAATAGCTAAACTAGTCACTCACAACACGCTCACATCGTTTTCTGACAGTTCACTGTGATAACCTGCATTTATTATAAAACTTTCTTAAATTCTGCCTTTACAAATGTTTAAATGTCTGAAAGGGCTGTAATATTTCCTGCGTGGGAGCAGGGGTGAAGTCACATTTAAATTACTTAGACACTGTGTACAAAGGACATGTTAAGTGATCCCACAGATATCAAGTTAAAAATGAAGTCAGTTTCTCAGATAAAAGAGGGAATGAGGAAGAGCATGCGGTTTTAGATTATATTACCTGTTCATTAAATGACCAATTACCCCCATAAATGCACATATTATTGGATCAAAACAGAAATAATATAATGATAATTTATTTTGCATACAGATTAAAAACGTTAGTTCCATTCAAATATGCAGTCAGGAAGCAGTAACAGTTACATACTTACATACAACTGTATGCCTGCCTTCTGTTTTACCACAGATTTACCACTTAAGTAGCACAGTCTTTATTATTATTGCCATATTTTAGCAATATACCATAATTCAAATAAAAATTATACATAAAAAGTTGATATGATATTAACTATACACTGATTCTCACTGGATTATTACTGAGAGGATGTTGTCATCCAGGTCGACTATCCATGTGTGACCCCATCTGAAAGGATCTTATATCCTCTCCAATGAATTCAGTCACTGTGGGAATGAGAAATTGTGGTAGAAATAATTTAATTGATTGATACAGATCAGTAAGACCCTAGTTAAAGGAATAGTTCACACACAAAAAACGAAATTCTTTAGCAAATCTCACAATGAAAATCCATTTTCATACCACACATTGTAATGTTGAAATGCCTAAATTCACTTGTAGCATTTAAAATAATTTTATTTGTTATTTTTGGTATTTAGATTTTTTTAGACAAAATAATGATATATGATATTAAATAATTATTTGATATGATTATACTACCAGTCAAAAGTTTTGGAGTCAGTAAGATTTTTAATGTTTTTTAAAAAGTCTCTCATGCTCACCAAGGTTGCATTTATTTGATCAAAAATACAGTAAAAACTGTAATACAGTCAAATATTATTATAATTTAAAATAACTCTTATTCTCTGATGAATAGATTTGAAAAACAATCAACATCAATTTATTGGTTATCGGCCATAACATGAAAATAATTATTGGCTTATCATTCAGAATTTTAATGTTGGTGCATGACATATACAGTCAATCATACCCACCTTCCTCTAGTGTGATATGCTGCATGGGTGTGGGGCCCGAGAAGTCCGGGGGTCCCTCCAGCTTCAGACCAGGGCCTATGTCTCTTTCAGAGGGACGCATCTGGTGCTCCCAGCTCTCATATCGGCCGTACGGAGGTGGGCACAGGTCCTGATAGTGGCTAGTGTTTGACGGAGGCGAGGAGCACATCTCTTGGGGGCAAGGACAGTGTGGATATGGGGAGTGAGAGAGTGGAGGAAGGGGCGAGGTGGAGATGGGACTGCTTGCAGGGAATGGGCTGAGAGAGCAAGAGTGTGAGGGAGAAGGTGAGGAGGAAAGATAGGGAGAGTCAAGCCACGGAGAGGGAGACGGGGAGGGGGAAAGAGGTTGTGAGGCTCTTGGGTACATGGGAGGAAGAAGCTCTGTGAAGCCCAGCTCCAGGCTCTCAAAGCTTGGATGCCTTTCGGTCAGAGCACCTCGACCTCCACCGTCCTCGGGGACCTCCGGTTTGTGGCAGTAGTCCTCCTGGTAGCCATGCGAGGAGTAAGGGTACTCATTGGGATATGGAGGTAGGTGGAAAGACATGCTTCTGTCATCTGCGGATAGGTCTGAACTCATGTCGACAATGCTGCCGCTCCCCATGGGGGAAAGCGTCACCCCTTCCAGGGGCAAGATGGAGGGATGGGACAGCAGCGGATCTTCTTCTTTAAACATGACTAGAAAATGTAAGATGTGACTCAACATCACAGATGTACCATGACATGAAAACAATTATATTGTATACATTTAATATGAAATGTGACAAGATATATTACCTAATATAACATTTTTAATTATTTTAATTAATAGTTTTATATTTAATTATGTAATATTAAATAATTAT